AAGAAGAAATGCATTATAGACATCCATTTGGTAAAGATTCCACTGATTAATGGCAGCTAATGCGATGACTACCCTTACTGTAACCTTACTGGTTAAAAGTTAGCTACAAACTTTAATGGTTAAAAGTTAGCTACAAACTTTAATGTTTCATGGCTAAGGATTAATACTTATTACTACAAGAACTTTTTTGATATGGCTATATTAATAAAACTTTTGCCACGAACAATATATATTTATAGCTAATGATTTTATTCTTTTGCCACGATAAATCAATTTTGTAGCTATCTTTTATACTTTAGCCACAAAGGGGTATACTGTGGCAAAAGATGTTATGTATCAATATTAGATTTGTATTATAGTATTTATATTTAGCTATCAATGCATAATTTTATAGCAGTAAATCGTCAAAATATTCATGATTAGCTTTTTTTATTATATTTATTTGGTGACTAGATTTTTATTACATTTTATTTTTATTGATGAAAAATTAATTTATTAGAGATAATAAATTTTTCTGTCATATGTGTTGCTATTTTCTTTTTTTACCTCACTAAATATTTTTAAAATTTTCAAATATTCCATATCCATACATCTCTGATCAATTCATAGAAACACACAATAAAAACTTTAACTATCACTTATTTTACAGAAACTGACTTTCAAAATAGTTTTAAAAATTAATTCTAAAATATACAATTGTCTATCTAAAGCAGATAATATCCACACTTCCAAAGACTAGCTAATACGCAGCAAGATAATAAGAAAGAAGTCAACCTTGCATTCTTGTCAAACTAATAGGAGTAAAATACAAACTATGTACAGGCGGTAATTTAACTATAATCTATAAAATTCAGAAAGGTTCCACATCAAAACAAAACTAAGTGCTAAGTATTTGATATGAGAATTGCAAATGTAGCCACCAGATGATCTTCTGCGGTCAAGGATAAAGTAATTTCACTCAAAGCTGAAACCTTGCTCTTCTTCCATTCAATAGATTAAAATGTACCCTATAAATTCAAAATAAACAATAATTAGTACAAAAGACATCAATACAAAGATGCAAGTTTACTTTGTATAATGCTAAAAGAACGTTCAAAAAGAGAAACTTTAGCATATAACAAGAGGGGAAAACGTAAAGCGATAAGAAAACAAACCTGTATACTTTTTAAAAAACTTTTGAAAGGATTTTCATCTCAATTTTGTAATATCTTTTCTAGAACTGTGGGTCCTTCCAACATTATATTGTAATCTTCAAGGTTCCACTCAATATCTATCACAATACAACACAATATCTATTAATTTGTTAGAATATAAATCAAAAATTCAAATAAAAAAGGTGTATGGGGATTCAGAAATCCTAAGATACATACATAAACATATCTGGAAAGAAAGAAGGCGACTGGCTATCTAAGCGGTGATTGATCAGTTGGTTTGCTCTGTTCATGTGAAGAGAAAAGACATTGTTGAAGAAGAAGAAAATGGGCAAAGGGGGGAGGAAGGGGGGTTTATTAGGTTTTGTAGATTTTTGTTTGGGCCAAACCTTTACGCTCTTCGTTTTGTTATTACTATTACTATATATATTTGCACTATTACCTAATATAAATCCTATAAATGTGAGAACTGTAAGTATTAACAAATACAAGTCCAGCAAGAAAATTATTTATGAAAAAGGCAAAAGATTAAACACATACTTCACACTAAGTAAAATAAAAAAATCAACTTGCATGAAATAAAGATATTTTATAATATATTTTATTCTTTACAACTTTTTTCGTCATATACAAGTCTTATTTAACCTTCACGGACCACTTCACTACCCAGCAAGCTCCGGCTCGAAAGCAAG